CAGAGGCACTGGTCCTACTGGACCAGTACCTCCAATTATCAGTTTTTCACCCATCAAGGTCAAGGTAAAGGTCAAATAAAGGTCGTAGTGACCTGGTTTTGGTAGCGCTAGGTCAATTAGGGGCCAAGTTAGAGAGCGGAAAGGAAATATGATTAAGGTCAAAGTAAAGGCTAAATAAAGGTCGCAGTGACATGGTTTTGATACGCTGCTCACCTTCTCCCCAAGATGTGTAAGTATACCAAGTTTGGTAGCGCTAGGTCAATTAGGGGCCGAGTTAGAGAGCGGAAGGGAAATATGATCAAGGTCAAGGTAAAGGTCAAATAAAGGTCGCAGTAACCTGGTTTTGGTACGCTGCTCACCTTCTCCCAAAGATGTGTAAGTATACCAAGTTTGGTAGCGCTAGGTCAATTAGGGGTCGAGTTATAGAGCGGAAGGGAAATTCTCTGCGGCGGACCGAGCGGCGGCGGCTGGGGAGACATGAAACCATAGTATCCCCGCCGACTTCGTCGCGGGGGATACAATTATGATATTACAATGAGAAACAATACACAGAGAGCCACCAATTATTACACAGAAATATTAGAAAAGCACATTATTACCCTTTTCGCCATCTTAGAGTCAGGAATTTTCTGTTTCTTTGCGCCATAACCCGTGCTGACAACATGATGTACTTCCCTAGAGAAAGAGCATGAGAAATGGTTAATTAAATGAAAGTGTCAGTGACATTGTAGCTCACCTTGGGTGTGATAGAAGAGGGAGGGGGTATATATAAAGCAAGAATATATATGGAAGAACTCCCATTATATAGCATATCTCCCATTATATACTCTTGATAATGATATATATGCATAAGTTTTGATGCGAAAATAAATGTTTCAGATCTGAAAGTCTGAAATCTTGACGAGAGATCGCGCTACACCTAAATGATCGTCATTTTGGTTTTCGAATATCGCGCAAATAAAAACAATAAAATATTCCAGTCAAATTACTGTAACGAAGAATCTAAAACACAATATTACACGTATATAGGTATGATTGTAGAGTTGTTGACCAGTTAGACGAAATAAACATAATAGGATGTTGTCATCTCTCCCATAGGAGTAATAACTGTTTTGGGGCTAGCCTTACACATTCACATACCAAAATTTAACAAAATCGAATGAATTCAGCTTCGACATCCCAACTCGTTTTGACGATCACCCCCAATGTGCCGAATATCGTGACCGTACGTCGAGCGGTTAAGATTTGTGCCCAACTGTTGACAGACGGACGGACGGACGGACGGACGGACGGACGGACAATCATGCGATTCTACAAGCTGCATCTGACTATGTCAGATGAGCTAAAAAACAACGAACAAGCACTCTGTTTGAATCATGTATAGACTGCTGTGTCACGTGGCAACAATTTATAGGGAGCCTAAATTCCAATACTCTTTCTAAAAGGAAGACAAATTTCCATGGTATTTGCAGTTGGTAATTTGGTCATGCTACAAAACACCCACCTTTATTATTTCTTGACTCAGTACTCCACCTAGTATAGCACACACTGGACTCAACTCACCCATGCAGTAACTGAAATATGGCAAGAAAATCTCTGAGTAACGTAATTTACAGCCGCCTTAATAATTCTGCTCTTATTCATGGAAGACACGAACAGTAAATAGTAAGTATGTATGCAAAAAGAATTCGGCAAAACTAAAACATTGCAAGTCTAACATTTACTAACCTCAATCTGTCTATAATATATGTGCAGCCCATCGCAATGAAATTAAACACGTAAATTACCAGCTCCGATAATTGTTTGTTCCATATAAAAATCTCAGTTTAGACATACGACAAGAATGTAGTGTGGTTTGTGATGAACCTAACCATTAATAGAATCCAAGAAACCTATGCCATGTATTGAAAAGGCAATACAAGAACAGCTACTCTCATAATACATTTTCAAATTTTATGATGATTGATTGTTTACTATTTAATAATTGGCTTAAAATTATGTAGTTATAGGTATTATAATAGTTTTTGTAGTCAATGTTACATGGCAAATAATATTTATACTAAGGCTAGAAAATGCAGAATATTGTATGTTTTAACATGTCACAATCCTCTGTCAATTACATACTTAAATAATGAAAATTCATTGAAGGATTTCTATGAACGTTTGGTATTACTATATGGCACATACTGCTTTTATCATGTGTAGTAGAACTCATGTTACTTACCTGACAAATTTGTCCGAAACAATTGAATCACTGATGCCAATCTCTTCCATCACAGTGTTCTTAAGGCCTAGAACCTTCTTCTGCTTTTCTTCTTTGGTCAATTGGGCATTGTGAAGCACTTGTTCACTTCTGAATCTTAGCAGAACTGCAATGAACAATATATATGATTTGTAATATGAAAATGGCAACTACTGGATGTATTGTGAAACAAAAAAACTTCATACATTCTAACGACAATTGATGCAAGCATGGGCCGGACTGTCCGGCCACGCACAACCTGAGAAGGAACTAGAGCCAAGCAAATATAATGAAGTTGTGGATAACTGGCATCACAGTTATTGCACCCTCTGGTAATATCCCAATTTAGATTACAAACAAACATTTATATTTATATTTATTTATATTTTAACAGGTACATATATGGATGCACGTATGTTCAACATATTTGCATTCAGTCTCACCTAATGAGATGAAGTAGGTTTCAGGAGTTTTGTTCATTAACATTTTGCCTTTAGTTGACGCCCAATCAAAATCCAGCACATCTTGCAAGGTAATAAATCTTGAGTTCTGCATAGATAACATACACATTTAGGTAACTAGAAAGGGCAGTTGTCGCCAACTACATGTATCCCCCGTGTTCTCCCGAAGATGTGTAAGTATACGAAGTTTGGTCGCGCTAGGTCAATTAGGGGCCGAGTTATAGAGCGGAAGGGAAATATGATGAAGGTCAAGGTCAAGGTCAAGGTTAAATAAAGGTTGCAGTGACCTGGTTTCAGTACGCGACACACCTTCTCCCCAAGATGTGTAAGTATACCAAGTTTGGTCGCGCTAGGTCAATTAGGGGCCGAGTTATAGAGCAGAAGGGAAATATGATCAAGGTCAAGGTAAAGGTCAAATAAAGGTCGTAGTGACCTGGTTTT